GTGCAGGGGATGGCAATTATATTTTATAACGATATTTCGCCTAATGCGTATACGTGTGTGCGTTAATAACTGCCGCACTCTCCGTATAAATTCATGCGATTTGTTTGAACGCTGCTGTGGCCGCCGCCGCCACCGCAGCCTTAGTACGGATTGTCTATTTAAAATTAATTAACGATATGTTTACTATTAATTTGGTCAAAGGATCAATGTTTGCACAACGCGCGAATGTTAGATTTGCATTTGATTAAAGTTATAGAGCTGATTTGATTGCAGCTTGAAACAGTTTGTTGTATACCCTACCTTGATAAATTTGAATAATAACCTAGTGAACAAAAAATTATCATTTAAAACGTTTTATATTAATCATAACTATTTTTGGCAATTAAAGTTAAATCAACACTGTGCTATGGGTAATCCATGAGTAAAAAACAATTTTATGCAACAGAATTTGCTGCTAATCGTACATAATCATGCGAGACCGTTAATACTTTAACCTACCGCTAGATGGCTAACACCTTTATCTGTAAATCTACAAGTGGCAAAGTCAAAATAATTGTATAACTAAAAGTAAAGTTTTTAACCTTAGTCAAAGCAAGGTTTTTAACGCTTTAACATTGTTTTCTAGTTTTAAGTTGTTATTAGTCTCAAGATTTAAACAACATGTATGGTTTTTTGCTTAAATTTTTCTATAATTCAAATTCAACAAAATTATTGTTTAACAATTTAACAATGTTTAAAATTTCCGGATAAAGCAGCGTGAAATTAAACAAAATGTATAAGACTAGTGGAAACATAGACGCCTAAAACGAGCCATCAAAACTGTATAGGGTAAAACACCTATTACTGTGCCTGTCCATATTACTGGATTTTAACATGTAATCAAATGTTCAGTAATAGGGAATTGAAGGTTATGTCTTGGGCACAGTAATAGGTGTTTTACCCTATACTACTGCAGAATTAACCGTGCTGCGCACGCGCTCTGCTTGTATCTTCAGAAATCTAAATAAATAAACTCTATAAAAGTAACGCTTAGAAATTGAAAAATTGGATTTCACTCTACATCTCTGTTTTTTGGCGTTTTGGAGCCTATCGCATAAGCGCTAACCACTAAAAGGAAGCAATACGAGCACGATAAAACTTTTGACGAGATACGAAACGCACGCGACTTTGTTCTCCACTCGATTTAAATTTGCCATTTCTTATGCCTCACGACAATTCAAAAGTTTATTAGGTTAATTAGAGCTCGCTCTCTCTCTCTCTCTCTCCAACTCACAATTTGGACTATTTTGAATCTAGGGCCATAAAGGATTCGTCCATGCGCTTGCAAGAGTATAATGTCACTATTATCGAGCGTTGGCATCTAAATCACGGCGGCAGCGGCGGTCGTCGGCGGCGCGCACCACCACACGTAACTCTAATGAAGCTCGTTAAAATAGAAAAATCAGGCGCTCGCGCGACCTCGTTCCTGAACGTGTACATAATACAGACGACGTGCCGAAGCGCGTCGTGGTTACGTTGTCAAACGAACGCGCGCGTCGATCATCGTAGTCGTGCACCGCACATCTTCCAAGGTGAAAACCGTCCGTACCGATTTTACGAGCTTACGCGTAAAACCGAAGTTGAAAATTATTCTTTTCGCGTTCGTACATTTCTCTCCCTTCGAGCACGTCTTTCCCACCTTCGAGACGATGATTTCAAGGTTGCGAACCTTCCGCGAGGAGCTCTGCTGTATGATGCGGGTAATGTTGTGCCAAAACGCGAGCATTAACGTTGCGCAACACCGTGACGCTTATATACATATACCTTTTCTCGCGCGTTCCCGTGCGAATTTCAATGAACCCTGAGGGAAATTTGCATATTTTTTTAAAGCTGCTAGGCGATGCATGCTTTGTTGCTCTATTTCATTACAACTTCGACGCGAACACCGAGCACGAGTAACAATTAACAATAATTGGATCGCGCGCAAACTTGGTTCGACTTTATTATTATTGTTGTTGGTGTGTAAATTAAAATAAATATTCACGGACGAAATGCTTCTCGGTTATATTGACAAAATGAAATTATAATCATTTATCACGGCGAAGCGCCAAATGGAATTTCGCGTTATACAATTGCAGTGTAGAGGCACATTTAAATATCAACGTCGAGCGAGCGATGAATATAAAAACAACAAAACGTAACAGTCGATTAAAGCTCGAGTCGCGCGTCAATAAAATAAAAATGTTTCCATTTCAAAGGCTTCGGCGGCGACGGCGATACATATATACACATCCCCGCGCGCATATTATACGCAACGCATGAAAAGTAATTTGTCGAACACACCGATCGAAATCTCTTCGTCGAGCATAATTCAATCGATGTAAATCGACATGCGAAATCACGAATGCACACACATACACACACATGTGTGTGCGCACGAGTATCATTAGCCTCGCGCATATCGACACAATAATTCCTTTCACACTCACGCTCGCGCGTGCAGCGGTGGTTTGCGTTTGCTCACCCATACACACACGTGCATACGGGGCATACATAATACGTACGTACTGAATATAGGCTGCATTTAGAGAAAGACATGTACCTGCAGTCTCGGTTTTCCAAAATAGCCTTTTTTGCAACTATACTCGAGATACCATTCGATTACACACATGTCTGTGAGAATCGAGGAATGTGCCGCAGCGAACGCGTATAGAAAGCTCGTCGCCGCAGTCGGTGAATCGTACGAGAATATCACCTCCTCTAGGTTACAAAGTATGGGAATGAGGTTTTGAAAGAAACAGGTGAAAAAACAGCCAAGTCTTGGATGAAAAATGTAATAATATCAGCTGTATTGCGCGCGATGACTGCGCCGGTGGTATTCCGGTCAAGGGTGCGCGCGCCGACGCGATCGACGTAGTTTTTGAATTTTGTGTTGTTCCCGATTTAATTGGACTTACACGAGAGCGCCGATAAGATCTTGGCGATTAGCTTTATATGCACGCGCGCTTTAATTGAAAAACGTGTAGATTTTGACGTGATCGGCAAATCGCGACTGCAGATCGACTAGTTCCAACGTCTCACTCGACGAAAAAAGAAAACACGATCACGCTGAAACGCCGATTCCATTGTTATACTCGCTCGAATAGTACGTCACGGACACGATCTCTCGTTGCGCAAAGACTCGACGAATGCAATCGTTTCTCATCTTAATTTATCGTCACCAACGTGTCGTAGCAGAGTACCAAGAATGAAAATTCGCGAAATATCCATTTAAAAAAAAAAATGAAATTTTTCTTCTCTGTACAGCTCATATCGATGATAAATTCGATTGGTTAATGGCTTTGTCGAAAGACGATCGAGCGTAGTAGTCCTCGCGACGACTGCGGGTGAATTATCGAGTCCTCGACCATTGTGCGTCGACCGTGCGCGTTCGGGGATTTATTTTGCTTTCCAAGCCGCTTTCAATTTTCTCGTGTAAATTACAAAAGGCAACGACTACTACTCGGGCTTTCTGGTATACGACTGCAGCGCAATAAGTATGAGAAATAATATCTCCGTGTGTGTCATTGTCAAACTCGTGGCGCTTTCAACACCACCATATAGTCTGAAAGCGTTCATTTGTCATTTTGGTGAAAAAGCTTCTGTTGTAAGTTTCTTACATTCGGTGCAAGATGTAAATTGAACGAAAAAAAGAATCTACGAAACTTCGACATCATCCGGCATGGAAAAAGAAAAGGATCGAGCAAAACTCGCATCTCGTAATTAGCCCATACAGCACAAAGATATCGTCCTTGGACGAAATAGCGGAACTGACTCTCGGACACAATCGTGAGGATGCCGCTCATAGATTAAAAACAGAGTCGTCGTCGTCGTCGTCGTCGTCTCGCTCACATACACATATAATGATATACTACTATATACATACCCTGACCCGCTTTATTGCACTCGAATGCGTGCCGATCGCTCGCGAGCGCGCGCGAGACACACTAATGGACTCGTTGACTGATCGATAACGATACATAGTACCGATCGCGATCGGCTTTTGATGCGCTCACGCGCGCGAATGCATGACGTGCAGAGTGCACGGATTCATCGACGCGCATCGCGTATTATATAGGTACACTGCAACGAAGAGACAGAGAGAGAAAGAAAGAGATGCTTTTAATTATTCGTGTAAATGAACCGTGGGAAATGGATGATGATCATGCGCGCGTGGATTGTTTCATTTGGAACCTGCGTTAAAACGATATCTCTTGTTACAAGCCGCATCGGAATATGAATAAATATAAGGATATCGCATTCCACGAATGATCGGTAAATCATGCCTCGTGCGCATTAGATAGTCATTTGGGCCCAAAATCAATTGAACGTCCAACGCGTAAACGATCATCGCGCCTGGATCCTTCCCACGCTTATACGACGATGCGACTACGACTATCGACTACGACGACAACGACAACAACAACGCAAGTGCCATGTTGTTGTAGTACCTATACTACGTTAAATACTCTGAAGAGTCGTGTGCGTCGTCTCTTTAAACGTCTCTCGTCGCGCGCTGACTGTTAAACCCGTGATTTACACGTGGACAATCGATCGCTGTGCTTCGGTATTGAGTTTCCGCGTCTGTGTGTTGGTGTGCGAAAACGCGAGCCTCGTCTTGTTGTACGCATATATATCTGCGACTGTGGAGGCGAAAAGAACGAAGAAAAGCGAGAGAGAGAGAGAGAGAGTTTGTTGTGAGAATATCGAGATAGAAATCTGCAAGGTCAAAAACGAAATATACTCTCGGAGAGCTGTGGAGAGTGTGTGACGAGCTTTGTAAAATCGAAAGGCTATTTATAAGAATCCAAGAATAGATTGTGCGCCTTATTACTCGGTGAGCTTTAACTGGATGCGCGCGTCCACGCACAAACACAGATTACATGCAGCGCCGAAGTGAAAACTATTAAATACATTTGGCACTACTGATAGCGTTTTTGTATGGTATATTAACGTTTGAAAAATATCTACTTATTTTACAGGCACGAAGAAGAAAGTCGACGACGTCACGGCGCCCAAAACGATACACGACGTTCCCGAAAAAGCTCTCAACTGCGGGCTCACATTGCCTGGTAAGTTTTTTTTCCCTCCCGACCAAAATCTCATTTTGCTTGTTATTCCTTTTTTTTTCCTTCCAACTTCTTGGCCGAGTGTTATCCAACCACAGGCACGTATACGAAAAACTCACACATGATCAATCTTGGCCTGGCCGCGTGATGATGCGAATAGACGCTACGTATGCATATGGGAATACAACATTAGACTCTCTCGCGCGCGCGCGCGCGAAACACAGTTGAGGCGTGCAATATGCGGCGCGGCGGATGGTGTGCGTGCCATGGCGCGCAGCATAGAGCAGCGGAATCAACATTTCTCATCGCGGAAGTCGATGATAGGGCGGTTTTCGCACATGTCTATGTGTGCTTGCTTTGGCTCGGGTGAATTATATATAGGCATGCTGTGTATGGTGTACGTGTTAGGCCACCTACACGTTGTTTCGCGAGCGAGCTTCCTATATATAGTAATAATAACAACTACCGTACGATGCACTTGTAATGCTGCTGCTGCTGCTGCCGCGAGATGAGCGCGCAGGTACATATATATATGCAGAGCATATTATAATATAGCGTACTACACACATATAAGGTGCCGTGCTGAATCTTTTTTTTTTCGTATATCCCCCTAAACAGTTACGTGTTATATACGCGGTTGATTAGCCGGTGTAATTTTCAAAGTCACGCGCTATACTATAGGTATAATGTGGGCTGCTCGCGCGCCAGCAGCAGATTGTTTTCGGTCGGCAACTTTTCTCCCCCCCTTCTTCAATCGCGAGAGAGAGAGAGAGATAAACTAATAGACATCCGTATTAGATAAAACGCGCCCGCGTGGATGCAGGCAGAGATAAACGAAAGAAAAAAAAAGGCTGAAAAATTTTTTACATAATTTCATTTTATCCGCGCGCGAGCCTCGCGCAGACAAATCATTCCGGATTGACTATCGGGACTAATACACCGCGCAGCGTGCAGCGCAACGGCGGCTGCGGCTGCGAGCTTCGATATGGGCGCGCAACGAACTAAATGGAAAACCATTAGTGTCGCTGTAATGTATAATCGTAGAGCGGCTGCAGCGGCGGCGGCGGCGGCCTAGCTCTGCCTGCGCATATATAGATTTATTTCGAGGCGCAAAAGTGCTGATTGTACAAAGAGAAAATCTTTACCCTCGAGCTATGCTGAGGCTAAGGCTAAGCTCCATGAACGCCCGAGTAAACGAAATACATATATGTACGAACGACCATATTGGCTTAGGCTCTCTCAAAATTTATGCATACATTTAGAGTACAGAAAATTTTGTGCAGCTGCCCCCACACCCACGTGTATCGTTAATTTTATTGCGCCTCGAGCGCGTATAAATAAAATAACGAGCCAAAGTAAGTCAGTAGACGAGATGCGTGTGTAAGCGCCTAAGCTCCCACCACCAGTGGCTATGCCTATGTAACTTAATTGAGTGCGTATAGATATTTGCGCTGCTCATTAACAGTACACATTGGCGCTTAGGCTACCGTCCATATATACACAAGCGTGCGTGAGCTTCGGTAAGAGGAAGTTATGCTGCAAATTTAAAACCCATCATCGGCCGGATTTCTTTTAAATGAGGAATATATGCTTTTTTATACGCGTAATAGATAAAATACGTAATGTACCGAAACGTAAAATTCATTAACGTACTTCGTAAAATATCGTTATTTTACATACTCGGATTTTTCATCACTTGTACTTGTGGCGAAAACAGCTGTAAATCAATGCGCTCGAGGAAAGCAAGTTAATTTTCCGACCGATAAGATCGGAAGAAATATTTTTCTCCCTTTTTTTATTTTGCACGCACAAAGAATCACACATTTTTACAGCCAGGATTCTTGATTTATGATGTTACACCGGAACAGGCAGCTTATAAACGTATTGAAAGTGATTCTCAGTAGATTTAGAATTTAGGTCAAACACAGGATTCAGATGGATCGGTTGAATGCCGAACAAAACAGGATCGACGCGCGACGGCGTGTGAGAGCTCTAGATTCGTATTTTAATTCATGGTTGTTGGCCGTTGAAACAATTCAACGATCGGAAGTTTGGATAACTTGTTTGGGAATTTCATAATAATATTGCAAGTATTTTTATTATGCCTCAAAGATCTGACGAACAATAAAAACTTCATCTCTTTCTTTTGAAGTGACACATCGCTGCCTGCCGTTAAGTATGCAAAGATATACTCCTCTCGTATCTCCGTCGGCAGAATCTTAACGGCACTCCGTAGCGCACGCAGCAGAGAGCACTTGATTATGATGTACCTCGCAATAAAAGAGTAGCTCTCCTCTATTCAATCGGATTGTCGGCGCGCACTTGCGCCTCTATTACATATTCCCAATGAAAATTACACACGATGTTTATAATATTTAAATTTTCAATAAAAGGAGTAAAAATGTCAAATGGTCATATTTTTCTCATTACGAAAAATAGGTCGCGCGACGCGTACAGTTAGATTTTACAATGCGAACGTTAAAAAATTTTTACATTCCGCGAGCGCGGTGGCATACGTACGTCGTATTATGTATACGCGTATTTTTGATTTATTCGCGCGTATTACGATATCAATAAACGTCACTTCTCATTTGAGCTCCGGTTTCTCGCGGGCCGCGCGTCGTGCGCGCTCGGGCTCGGAAAATGTGTGTCTAACCCGGAGGCGCGCGCGCGCTAAAACATCTCTCGTTGCCGCGTCGAGCTTTTAAAAGCGCCGTAAACGTTTCACCGTAACAAAAAAAGCATCAGTGGCAACAGCCTGTGTGTATTTTTTTTTTTTTTAATGCATGTGTGTCACTCGTGGCACAATCGAAGATACACAACAATGAGTCGGATTTTCGCTGCATCTCTCTAGGCCAGGATGTAAACGTATTTAGTATAGCGCAGGCTAATCATCGCGAGTGATCGACTCACTTTTTTTTTTGTTTTTTTTATTGACCCATGACTTACGAGAATCGCGCGCCGATGCATGTTATTACGATACATCTAGGCGAAACGTTATAATGCGCTACGGCGGCGGCGCCCGTGAGAAAAGTGTCAATGGGTTAGCAGATCGCTTATCCCTTCGCGCGTTTATATCCAGACACACATAATGTGTATCTATAAACACACGTGTGCGCCGTGTACCACAGACCGAGTCTTTGTTTTACTACTCGCGCGCGCGCACGCCGCGGCCGATGATGAGTCGGCATCAAATAACTCGGCGAAGAGGCAGCTCGTTAATTACGATAACTACTTTTCCTTCGCGTCCTGCCCTCTCTCCCTCCCTCCCTCGCTTATGTATGTATGCAAGAAATTATTATACCGTATAAACGCAGTTTTCGCATACCGAAAACGTAAGTACGTGCGCATGCGCGGGGATATGTGTCTGTGTGCCAAGTTTCACTTTTATCCCTTCCGATGATTTTATCGGAGAGAAAAAGCGCAACTGCGCTACACACACGAGGATGTGCGAGGCGTACACACGATATATACATATAAGTTTCACTGCGCGATTCGAAGAGCTTAATTATTCCTGATGGGCGAGGATGTATAAAGATGCCAGAGGCATAATTAAAGCTTCGAAACGTAATAGAAGTCGATGAAAAAATTATTTATTTCATTAGGTACATAACGTAATATATGGCCGCGGCGTAAAAGTAACGCAATTCCTTGTATAATGCAAACGAAGCGAGTGAAATGGAAAAAAGTGCAACGAGCTCGTATACATGCGCGCGTATACGCGTTGCAAACAAGGTATTTGAAATAAATGGCCGATTTCGCGTTTCGTCATAACAATGATTTTTCAGTCCGCCGGCCCGCACAAACCAAGGTGAAAGCAAGAGTGAAAGAATTAAGACGTTTTCGAAAAAAGATGTACGCGCAGCAGTTCGTACATGCGGCAGTTTTATTAGCATTCGAAGTGCGCCCGGGAATGTCCGCAGTTAATACAATTTTGATGGCGATACATACATATATCTGCACCGCGAGGACCAAACGACTGACGCTGTCTTATGTAAATCTTGTTAAATTGACTTCGATGCAAATACGTGCAAACCGAAAGTCGTGTGTGCGGGTGTCCGGCCGCAACTCGATCCCGCCCGCGAAAATAATCGCCGTGATTTTTCAATCGAATTTGTATTCGGATCAAATTGAAAATAACAGCTTCATTAAATATATAATAAAACCGGCACGCGATCGCGTAACTCGACGCGAGCCGTCGAGCTTTATAAACAAACGCACACGCGTATGTAAAAAAGCGCGTCTGATTTCTTTATTGCGTTTCGACGAATAAGTAAATCAGCATGAATAATTACCGATAAACTTCGAAGCTAGCTAGAGGAGTCATCGTCAGTTATTTGCCTAGCCTTCTACGCTCATTACCTTTGTACCGCTTGAAAAGACGAATTAATTAACATCTCTCTCTGCGCTCGTTGTTGCTGTTGTACGGTGCAGTAACGGAGCCTTGCCCATGAGACTCGTGTATGTACGCAGCGACAAAAAAAACCAACAACAACAGAAAAAAAGAAAATATCACTCGAGGGTGTAACGTACGTGCGCACAACGCGTACACTTGGAAAACTCGCGCAGTTTTATGGACTGTAAATCATCGACGGCTCGAGCGTACGTACATACAACGCAACACCTTCGAGCTAGGTATTACTATGCCAGCGAGTCGCGACGACGAATAATATAACGCACACATACGTATATACCTAGAGACATATTGAGATATTTTCTCCTTCGAGTCTTCCGGGGTCAGAGGGGACACGATCGTATTTACTATTATGTGTGTGTGTGCGGCAGTAATATACCCACGTAGCCCAAGTACGGCGCTTCGAGGTAAAATATCAGGCAGCTTTTTCCCGTTCAAGATCGGTATAATGATGCAAGTGCAGTTACGAATAATAAACAATCCGAGGCCGCACTAGCATTTTTGTCCTCGTTCTCTCTCTCTCTCCCTGTGTATACCCGATAAACAGAGAGCCCCGCGAGTGAGCGCAAAATATCGCAGATTTATGCTACCGATGCATCTAAACGCTATCTTTATAACGTTTTGCATCTTGGTTTATCGGGAGCGAGCTGCGGCCGGGCCGCTTTAATGATAATTCATTATCGAGTTCTTTCTCTCTGCTCTACGATAGTATACGTACCTATATGTGCACGCATGAATAATTGTTAATTTAATGAGGTTTTCCTCCATCAAGCGGCTATCGTCCGATGCGCGCAAACCCTTGGCGCGATATTACACATATTTGATTCGACAAAATTTATTAACTTGTTTATATCTGTTTGCAGGTTACACAGACATCGATGGCAGGCCAGTGGTGGCGTTCGACGGCGGCTCGACGCGTCGCGAGGTCGTGTCCTCGCGCGACATGGCTTCCTTCTTCCTGTACCTGGCGCGTCTTCCAAGGTGATTTATTTAACCATAATTTCAACCCTTATCCTAGGCCATATAAGAGTTACATACAGGCGTGCGAAATCATATCAAAATATGCACGCGCGTTATCTAAGCGCGTAATTTTGACGTCGCGACTCGCGAGATTTACGACTGGGTATATTAATGCGTGCGCGGCACAGAAATTATTATATTTTGAAAGGGAGCTGCCTTTGAAAACGAAGCTCATAGCGAATTAATTGGAGCAATAAAGCAATCACACACCCGTATATATGTATGATACGCACACGCGAAGTGCGCGGCAGCGCGCTTTTCTTCTACTCGAGATTTAAACGCACACGGGCTCGCGGTTGAAGAACGCATTAAGCAATGCGTATGTGTATGCGAGCGTATTTTATATATTTATTTATCATTAAGCGCGGCGCACGGGGTTCGGTATTGCTTACCGTGCGAGAGGCGATATATGGATGAATTTTTGTATCACACACACACAACGAACCAGATAGACACAGAGAAACCCTTCCATTATGCGATTATAAATCTTTTTAATTAAACTATAAATAACCAGACAGCTGCCAGCAGCAGCGGCAGCCACCACCACCACCGTGGACGAGGATTTTTCTCTCGACGTTCTAAGCACATTTTGATAGATTTACGCGCATTTAACGTTGGGTAAATCATATCGCTGGGTCATTTTAGGACTCGAAATTATCAATCGGAATTATCATCGCGTAATGCAACGAGCTCTACATTATTATCGTTCATCGGTCAAGTTTATGGCCGCGACGATATCCTTCCTATATACTGTATACTATAACAAGATGTGCGTGTACACAACAACAAGAGTATATAAGGAGTCACAGACCAGTACAGCTGATTTTCCCATGGTGTACACACACGTGTGTATATAAATAGAAGGACTATTGCGCCTTCTTTTCACGCCGCACACACACGGGGCAAGGATTTATGCTCTTCTTTCCTCTCTCGCTCTCTCTCTCTCAGGCGCCAACGATGGTGGGCCCAGCTGTGTGTGACTGTATGTGGGTGGACGCGGCACAAGATCTCTCTAGTTGCGTCTCGCGGTATATCCCTTCCGGGGTGTTTGTGCTCCGGCTCCGCGTGGCGCAGCGTCTCTTTTTCAATTGCAGTCTTTGTGTGTGTTGTGTTACTCGTTTAATTTGCCCCGCGCGCACACACATAAGCACATACACACTCTGTTGTGCTGCTTCCCTTCCAATCTGGTAATAGTTTAACGACTTTATTTTGTAAAATTTATTTATATACGCGAGAAACTCGCTAAATTCGTCAGCTTATCAGGCGCGAGCCATCTTTGACGTGTAGACACACACACACACACACACAGCACACGACTCGTAAAACAACGATCGAGTTGTTTCTCAACTTTCTTTCGATCTCTAGTGCAGTGTACACAAACATACGTACCTTACAACGGATTCAGCTATATTCCTCGGCGTAACGTGGAGAATACTATTAGAAGATACGTTACGCAATACGTGTACATGCACGTACCTTAAATTATGCACATCGCTGCGAGGCTACTCTCTAATAGAGACATCCCTCAGATGGCTGCAGCGAAACAGCCTATAGAAATAAATGCGCGCATTGAATCGCTTTACATATACGAGCGTGCAATATAAATTTAGGTAAAAGTGCGAGTTTTTAACCTATCCAAAATCGCCGAATGCAGGTTTGTAATTTTTCAAATCTTGCTATTACGAGATATTTGTCTAGAGTTCTTGAATAACGTCACTATACGATAAAATTATCAAACATGTCAAGTATTTAGGTATCATAATACCAAAACAAGGGAGAACAAGTTTTTAAACGAGTTGCATAAGTTTTAATCGCAACTAGCCTTACATTAGAAGTTATAAAGAATCTCAGCAACGGCAAGTGACAATATTCGCATGAACGTCAACAACTGCACTATGTATCGCGTATACACTCGATATCGACGCCAAAACTGACATACGCTTGTAATAGGCGCCAGACAGCGAAAGTTCGTAGCAGACACGCGCGCGAAAAAGAGCGAGAGAGAAACGCGAGCAATAAATCGTCGAGAGGTGAGCAAAGGATCGACAAAATGTTATATTTGCCGGATCGTTAATTGGGCCCTAGTGCGTGTGCGCGCGAAAAGTGTATAGCACATACGTATGTATATTTATAAATACATATATATAGAGCTTTCTAAATCACACCACGAAACTCGATTACTATTATATGTATGTGTCGTTACGTGCCGGATCTTGTCACGTATCAATGAGCCGCATTGATGCCTCGAGAATTACGATAATTGTATATATACGAGCTGCGAGTTATAAAGTAGAGTAACGAGCGCGACTGGAATTTTGCTGCAAAATATTCGATGTTCTTGCGTGGGTGCAGGGGCTTTTGCAAAAACTCCAAACTTTCCAAGTTCGTAAATTATTGCGGCGCCGCGTACACTCGAGTATAGAAACATACGAAAATCGCATCGATGTGCGTTTGCAGAGAGACACCCCGGCATAATTTTATGAATTACGAGTAAAGCGCAAATTTGTCACTCGTGAGCAGAAGGCATTGCGGGAGGAATTATAACAAACTTGTTAAACCTGTATGAATCAAGCTTAGCGATCCGAATCGACCATTCAATGCGTGGACCAAAATAATACCGGTGCTACGTTAAGACCCATCGGCATCGATTTATTTCCTTAAATTGAGCTTTCTTAGCTTTCCCTAAAAGTGTATTAAAACGAGCCTCAAAAGTTTCATTATCGTGCAAAGAAAGAAAGAAAGAAAGAAAGAAAGAAAAGAAACAACAAATTATTCGCAACTTTCATTCTTGCGCGTGGGGGAGGAAAAGAGGGAGCAGGATCATCTTCTTCGAGTATAACTACGCATTATTCATCGGAGCTCTGTGCGCGCGAGTGTCGCGCCATGGCTTAAATAAATCGTCGCACCAAACTCATTTTATTCCTCGCGAGATATACTTTTCAAATTTCAGCGTGTATATAATCTCGCGCTGCTGCTGCGACACGTCGCGCACTTGTAATTGCACGCTGCAAGCTGATGCGCGCAGTGAAATTTTGCGAAAATAAAATAAGTTTTTATTAATGATAATCTGAGATTATTCATGAACGTCATTTGTCATAAGCAGGTTATCTTCCGTCTACTATCAAAATTACAAAGATAACACGTTTGCGCGCACAATATAGTACGTACGCATATAGGTGCAGTACGTGCGCGCACGACCGAGAGAGAAAGAGAGGGAGAGAGAGAGAACTTCACGATAAACATACATTTTACGCTACTTAATAAATAGCTATTATAGGGCGAAAGATTATGATCGAAGATTGTGATCTTTAAAAAACGTATCGTCTTGTATATTATGAAGTCTTGCGCACACACGCCGCTTGGCATCTCCTCTCTCTCTCTCTTCATTTTTTTTCTTTATTTTGTACTACTACCTTCGCCTTGTAATTTTCTTTATACGCAAAAGCTTGGTATACATAATGTGGCGTTCAATATTTACCTTTATGATTATAAATTAATATTGATCAAATCTGCCTTCGAGTTCGTTATTACGCGGGCGTTATTTATTTACTTTTCGGTATTGAAAAAATAGCGCCATATTTCTCGTTTTCCTCAGAGAGGAAACGTCGATACGAAATTCTCATGGTTGCTCGTGGTGTATCCCAAAGATTGAATTATTTATCAATTATTATGCGAAAAAAATTAAATTAGTTGCACGGGCGAAATTGACGGACGATAATAATGCGTGCGCGCGAGCTTCGCCACCTATACAGCCTTGTTTCTGTAAGGTTGCATGACGACGTGCTTTGAATTACGACGCACATCCTGTACTCGTATATATCCGGACTTTTTTTCTTATTTCGTTCAAACAATTATTTCGTCCTCCCGTATAACGTAGGATTGCTCGACTATTCGGCGTGCGGTATCATTACGAGGCGCGGGCTTGATTTTTGCGCGAAACTCGGAGAAAACGCAAAAGAGCAGGGCGTCGTCGCTTTCTCGAAAAAGCACGCTGGACGCATTTGCACCCAGTAGTTGCGCGTCGGACGCACAGTCATTGCGAGGGAGAGAGATCCCATCGCCGCCCGTCGTCATTACCATTGAGCGTCAACCCGGCTATCATCGTCGGGCATACGTACATTCGAGAAAGTCGTGCAGTGCAGTGTGCTTCGAGTTGGTATTTGTATTTTTTTTTTCTTAACGAGAGATAAGCGCGAGCTCGCCGTATATGTTTTGCGGCTAAATCGTTGTACTTTGGCTCTCTTATATGCCTTTCTAAACGACAAAAACTTTAAAATTAGACTGCGTTATTACGAGAGATAGAGAGAGAGAAAGGCAAAAATTTTAAACAATCGCGCTTTATGCCGCGTATTCTAATGTGCAACGATGAGAAGACAATCGCATCGCCACCTTCCACGCATTAAATTACGCATGCGTGCGTTCCAATAAATTAACGGGATCGTCGTCGTCGGCGCATCTCACAATAATAATCGCCGGCGCGCGTTCGTACTCGCTCTATTTCCTCGATTTTTTCACACCCGCCATGCAAAAAATGTATCTATCGTACGCACACGTGCACACAAAGAGCGTCATGCGCGATGCTCATCTTGATTGGACGTCTCTCGCTCTTGACAACGGCGGCGTACGACGATTATAACGCAACGAAAATGCAATTCGCGCGTGTTCGAGCTTCGGGTTATTGATGCGCTTGGCTTTGACAGATGAATGAGTCTCTCTGCACCGATAGATGGATAGTTATTGGTGTCGCTCGATCGAGTACACGTTATATACGAGAGGATGATATCATCGCGACGAGCGCACTACACGAGGCTTTTTCGTAGCTCAATTTTATGCAATTTCATATACAACTTATTTTTGGTGTATTTGTACGATTCTAACATAATTTTTTTTTTTACTCGTTGCAGTGCGAACCCCGAGGAGGATGAGTTCGCGATGCTCGTCAAAGCGAATTCCAAAGACGAGGTGGAAACTCTGGACCGAGCTCTGAATCTCCTCAAGGTACGTTTTAAGAGGTCATTTTCCGCATGCCAGCTCCAGCGTAACAAAATCATAAACACGCATTATATAATTTTTACAGGACAAGGTGAAAATTGCACACGCTTATCTTCTGCGAAACGCTCCGGAAGGCAAAGCATCCGACTTCTTCCCTCGCAGTAGTCTCAAGGTACGTGTGCTTACTTCAAAAGTCGTATTATAAGTGCAATTATAAAGAAAAACGTAATTACGCAGCAATTGCGCGACGTCTTTAATCGAGTTTATACAATTCATAGGTAGCAATATCACTGCCACGACGGCTACTACTTAGCAACCCTTTAAATGGATATATTATATACAAGGGGAGCTTAGCCTTCGTAATAAATACATAAGCACCGGCTAATTACCGGCACCGCGTATAACGACGCTTCTTCTCTACAGTACACACACACACACACACACACACACACACACATATCTCGTTCTCTGAATTTCCTCTCGCGGTGCGAGACTTCGCTGCAGCAGTGTTGTTCTCTACGACGACGACAAAAACCTCGTTGCACCGGTTACATACCGCGAGAGTCCAATAATATCCACACGCACACAAGCGTATAATACAAACAAACACGAGCTGCTGTTTGGTCTTCCACGGGTAAAAAGGGGACTGTGCTGGATGCAGCATCGGGGCGCGAGTACCACGCGCGGCTTTGTTGTGACGGCACACAGCACACATAACACACTTGCTAAAGTAATAAAATTGCGCGACTCTTAATGCTCTCTCTTTCTTTCTCCTTCTTTCTCTACCTCTCTCTCCTGTGATTCAAGAATAGCTTATCTGAACTTGCGCCGCGCGCGATATACACAATCTCTCCTTTACGACAATTTTTTTTCTCTCTTTTTTTTTCGGTGCAAGCACCTATGAGCTGTTTATTATTATAACCCCTCTTTCTTTCTTTCTTTTTTTTAACTTACGTCTCGAGCGTTGCGTTTTCTTATACGATCGAGCTCGAGAGTTTTTTGCTCTCGGGTCGGAAAGGACTCGTGCATTTATCTTTATTACTTTACACTATGCGGAATAAAGGCAAAAGCGTGTGTGTACGCGCGCGGCGGCTAGCAGAGGAAGCAGAAAAACTTCTCTGTTAAGTTTACGGGGGAATACCCTCTCTCGATCTGCGACGGGGTTGACACACGCCACGATTCGAAATGATGAATTGAGCAGTGAACTTCCGACTATAATTGGTTATACACGTGCGTAGGAATATACGCGTGTCTGGTCGTGTTCAATTATTTTTTATTGAAACTGATATGCCAGACGTAAAAAAAAGAAAAATCAATTTTTGAGCTTAAAAATATTTTTTGTTGTAAGATTTACAATTTTTTCAAGGACACTAGTGGCAATTGACATTGACACGAGTGTTAAAGCGAGTAATAAAAATTAATTTTTTGTATTTTTTCAATTACAGATAATCAGTGTGGAAAATGATACGCTCGACAAACACATCCCTAGGCGAACGAGAGACTACAACCACGAGCATTTCATCGCTTATTATAAGGTAATTTCACACGAGTAATAAAATTTTGAGTAAAACGTTACCGGACGAATAACACGCACAGTTTGACTGAAAATTGTAATATAGTAGTGATGACGGAAAAAATATTCGAATGGCCTACAATTGGATTTTCCGGCCTGTTCTCGACTACTTACTTTGTTTACACTTTGACGTGCGCATCGTTATTTACTCACAAAACTATGCACCGGATATTTGTTCTTGAACTAATCCCAGACGCATTCACTGTTATAATAGCGGAACAATCTTCTTTTTTTTATATACGACCTACTTGACGAAAGAGGCAAAAATTTATTGCGCGATACGATTCGATGGTCAAGCCAAAGCCAGAGCACATTCTATGCTAATTCAATTGCTCTCTTCCTAGGATAAATAACTCTTTTAAAATTACAACTCATTTCTTTTTTCATTAAAATTCCTCTTTATCGATTCGATTATAAATTTGAACGTTGGTTTGTTTGTTTGTATTCGTGAAATCCATGCTAAATCTCATGAATGGAGGCGAAGCACGTGAATCGAGTCTGATTCCACAACAAACGGGGCTCATCAGACCGTCGTCTGATGCAATCGTGCTCGGCTCGCATTGATTGCGCATCCCCGCGCGTATAGTCAGCAATTCTATTGTCGAGAGAGTATAGCATAATTCGATTTCAGGTTTAGCATTTCTCGATCTCTATTCAGCAAAACGAACGGCAATTATATTTCGATGTATAGTATCATTGCAACTGATTAACGTATATGTTTTTTTTTCAATATTACAGGATTACGATACGGTGATGACGGAATGGCAGGCAGCCGGTCGAAGGCTGGCCCTGGAGATGCTGGAGCTGAAGGAGTGCACGAGTCTGTCGGGAAGCCTGACGCCTCTAAATCGGCTCCTCACGGATCCGACATTCAGGCGGACTGCCACGGACGCCGAGGAGGCCGTGCTGGCTCTGGAAGAGAGAGCTGCCCCTCTGACCAACATCATGTACATCAGGTATGCGGGTGCCGTTAAAGCCTAATCAATCGCGTTTGGAGCAATGAAATTTGATTTAACAATCGTTATTTTTGCCTTTTAGGAACTCGCTCGAGCGAGCGCGAAATCTGCTGGAGGAGGTGGCCAACGCCGCCACGAGGCTCGAGTCGTCGTTCGAGTCGCGGCGCGCCACGATACGCAATCTCGCTGTATTGAGAAGTATCGAGGATCAGGCCCGCGAGGTAAGTTATACACACACACACACATGCGCGACTCCCGAGTGTTTACATTATTATGTCTTCTAAATTAAGTACTTTGCATATGTGCTCTGAATATTGTATGAATACCGCTGAAAGGCACGAGAACCCATTTGCTGCATTATAAATATGATGTTGAAAAATCGCTGCGCAAACGACGCGGATATTTGTGCGCGGCTCCTCGAAAGAGAAGCTTGAAATGGCAGCAGCAGCCCCGCATTGACGCGCGCGTATACAATCATTGTAATTACGATATTATCATCTCACTTCGTGTGCATATAATTATCTCGGTGCAAAATATTAAGGGGTCTCTCTTCATTGGCAGCATTGGTAACAAACGAAATTCGTAAAAAAAATGACGCGCGATGCACACGCTTTGATGAGGTAAAAAAAACAACAACCACAACAAAAAACGCAAGCTGTATCGGAAATCGGATCCGAGAGAGAGAGAGAGAGAGAGAAAAGAGCAACGAGCGTGATAGCCCGAAGGCTTCGAAATATCGGTCAACGTCCTCTTTGTACCACTACTCGTCTCTCTCTCTCTCTCTCTCTCTCTCTCGGAGAGTCGGAGAAAAAGTTTATACTCTCTTTCTTCTCTCGCGCGCTCACGAATCGTACATATATGTGCGAGCTAGAGCTTCCTCGTATTGTAACTATTAACTTTCCGCGATTTTACTACAAATATCAGGTGCCTCTGTGAATACGTCTTGTCTTAAAAAAAAAAAAAAAATTGGCAACGTCGGCGTTAAAAATTCATTACACGTTGAAAACGCCCACAATTTCATAAAAGAATATCTCATTACACACTGACTCGGTTTTCACGATGCTCGCTCGCTCGCGAGTCCATATAATATCGTATATCAAAAAAACAAAATTCGTTATCCGTCATCTAATAACAATTTCTCAACCATTCGTCAAAAAATTAATGCGTTTGCATAATGCATTCACCGCGTGTACAAAAAAAAATAACGCGCGCGAGGATCGCTCTTGAAAAATAACGCTGCGCCGACCTTTCGCAGCTGAGATCCATTTGTATCGATAAAAGCTGCAGCAGCGCATCATCTCCTTCTCTCTCTCTCTCTCTCTCTCGTACGTATATAATACGCAAATGCTCTGGGGCAGCTTGGCTCGTTCGTCAAGAGTCTCAGTTCTTATCGGGACGCGGAAGCAGCGCGCGCGAGGCGGTGTTACTCTTTGACTTATACGCATCAAAAGGCTTGGTATTATCGGTCTCGGTCAGCGCGGACCTCTCAACGCGGAGCTCCCACGTATTATGCGCATACGCGGCGCAGTCGTACCTGCGATTCGGTAATGTAATTGCCGCCTTTTCATTATTACAGTTATGCGCTGTACGGATTGACGAGCGTAGGAGTCATATTTTCTCGGCGTTAACGATCGATCTCTGGCGTAAATATACCAGGACTTTTCGAAACATGTCGATAAGCATAAATGAAATTTTTAAATGCTGCTAATTTATGATACGTAGCAGCAGTGCAGTGCAGTGCAGCACTGATGTATTATCGCCGTCCTCGCCGCCTTGTTTTTTTTTTTTTTCACTATCTGGATCGTAAATGTGATTTCTGTGCATTTTTGACTTTCTCGTATACATACACGTACGCATACGTACACACGGCAGATATTTGGAAAGAGATAACTTTTCAATAACTATAAAAATCCGGCGGTGTTAACAATGATGATGATCGCGCACGCGCGAGTGAAAAAAAATTACTTTCACGCGGGACACGACAGGAAGCGATTTCGTATAAATAAATTAACGACACAAAAATCAATCGCAATTTCGGAGCAGATCCGCGCAAACTCGTTTTTCACCACGTCGCGCACGAATTGTCTCTCGTGTTTTTTTGTCGAGGCCTTATACACAATATACGTTTCGACCCACTGTTTTATATCAAGCTAATACAATATAACGAGCTCTGCGCGACGAGCGCAGTAGTGTTCTTCGATTGCGCAAACCTCGAGAGGAGACATTACACACCGACCGAAGTTTGCAAATTTACCTGTAACTCGTAGATTCGTACACACACACACACACTAACAAGTAGGTCGTACTAAACCGCAACGCCGCGTACACATCTATAATTGTTCAGCTCTATTGGAGTCTCGAGGTCGTGAAAGCGTTTTCATTTGGATGATACCCGTACACACATTGGAAAACAAAGGGTTCGAAGAAAGTGCAGAGCTGCTGCTGATCCTTGTTTATTATTGAACTGTTGTTATTTTTCTCGCATTCATCTCAAGGCCTGTAGCAGCAGCAGCATCATCTCGCTTTTAATACGATGATGATTTCCCGAAAAAAAAAATGCACACGCGCGTATCTTAGAAAAATATCGGTAGAGCGCAATGTTGCGCGCTTTCGAGTCAGCGAAGGGAGAGAGCCGAGACACAGTCAGTCGAGCGAGCGCAAGGTGCAACACGCGCGTTTATATACCCTCGGGCTAAAACGTTCCACTTTGATCGGTCGATGCCAGGATATGGAGCGGCAGCAGCAGCAGCATCAGCATCCCTGTGCACTGCAGTGCACTATATGATAATGGATTTATAATAATATATGCCTGTCGATGCGCTTTAGCTTCGGGCCCATACGCGGCCGGTACAACTCGAGCGACTGAATTGGACTTGCGCATTTCCATGCTTTATGTTTTTGTATTACCGTTACTATAAACATGCGTGCACATACGAGTTACATTTTTAATTGCTGGAAGCACATGCGCGGTGCATAGCGATCATCGTTGAAAGTCAATATCAAATTGGAAAATTGCATGAGCGAGTCATCCGCGAGTGCAATAACATACGGGCCCCGGAAAATCATTTATCGTAATCTACGTGCACTTTTGTCGAAATTGCACACAGTTCAATATTATTGTATATAAATGTGCACGTATACATGTAAGCGAATTTTAAAAAGCACCCGGTAAACACGAGGATTTATAAATAATTTTACGCTATATATGTATTCGAATCATAATGTTGTATTGTTCCTTAATAATAGAACATCACTCAAGCGAGATTTGCCGATAAAATATATAAGAAACTTTTACGACTTATCTTTCACGTATCAATCTACTTTCTCTGCCTCAGCGGAGCTCGTACCTGCACGCGCAGAGGTACGCGAGTGTGCGCAGCTTCCCTCGCGCGCGCGCGCGAACGAAAATCCCCAACTGCAGTGGCGGGCCGATCTCTTGATGCGGCTTGCTCGCTCGTTGCACACGTAATATCTTATTATTAAGTTGATTGTGCCGCGCAAGTGGAAAGTAAAAGTTATATATTATTCTTTCGGTCTCTACTGCGGCGATATGGCTGGCTCTTTGGTCGTTGGTTGCCTCATCCTCTCGTGCCACGATCGCAAATCCCGAAAAGTCATTTTTCCATCGGAATCACGCACGCATATGTGTGCACCTATACCTACCTACCTACGCCTAGAAATCACCTGCATCGTGCGCAAGCTACTTTTGTCCCATTAAGGCAGCTCTCGTGGCTCGAATTATACGCGCCGCGTGAGTGGCACACACTCGTTAGGTGCGGCACACTTGTGCGCGCGCTGACTCCCTCATTACGTCGTCGCAGTCGTCCGCGGCGGCGCATCGAAAAACCGCATCACGATTTAGATTTCAGACTTTCCACTGTACCGTACCACTATATCTATCGGCCGCTCGCAATATGCGCCAAAGAAGACACGAGCATTTTCATTCCTGCGCGCCCATAATATCGAAGCTCGCAATCGATGACGCGGATTAGAGTGATTCTGTCGCCACATGATATTGCGCCAAATTTTATCGACGACTTGGAGTAGCAGCAGATATGCACGTCTCATTTGCTCGTTAAGTACAGTATATCGGATAGTCATTACGCTCTGGATTTCCTTCAATTTTCGAGCCAGCACTTTAAGACGCGCATGGCATTCCAAAGCGCTAACGCGATCCATAATATTGCAATAATGGCTCGAGCGAGAGCAACAAAAACGCTTAATCGTGTAACTTATTTTTAATAAAAACAAAACGTCGGAATTGATTATTCAAACGCATATGAAATAAAAGAGGCGCGATCATCAATAATCGAGATCTCGATTACATGGTCGCGAAGAGCAGCAGCAGCACTAAACGACTGCGCCCGTGAAAAAATTTTCCAAGATTAATACAGCACACACACAACTCCATTAGGCAAAAGAAAAGACACGTATACGTATATAGTATCGTAATGTGGATCGATCAAATCTCGATGCAGCAGCAGCAGCCGCCGCGCTCGTGTATAGCCCTTCGGGCGCTTTGATGTCATTAATTCGAGGGAAAAGTTTTTAGCGTCAGATCTACTTACACGTTGTTGTACCTTGGCATTGTGGGTCCAAGCGGGGCTCTAGCGCTGCATTGCAGCGGAATTACAGAGCGCAAAGGTGCTAGAAATCAATCTCAATTTGCTCTCTGTCTGCCTCTCTCTCTCTCTCTTTCTCGCTCGAGACCTGTCAATTTACGTACTGTTACACGTTTAAGAAGGCGAATTTTACACACACACACACACAGGTGCACCGCACGGCGTAAATATATATAACTACGCTTGCGCGCAGTTTGCTGCGCTCGATAACGAGTCGGTGCTTTACCTCGCAGGGAATTGAAAATAGATGCGAGGCTTGATTTATTGGGTAAAAATATAATTTAATATTCTGGAATTATCGCTATCGAAGGATTCGACACTCGATAGTACTATAGATCTGGACACCATTCATTCTTCCGAAAGCTACGTAATGTTCGTGGAACAACGGCAGAGAAAGCTCTACAAAACCTATCGCAAACGATTAGATTTCTTCGTATTTCGCGAATGGCATTATCATTGACATTAATAATAACAACAACGACTTCGCCTTTGACGTCTCGAAAGCCCGTAGGCACAAACACATTGGAGAAGGAGATAATTGTTAAAATAAACGCATCGAGGCGCGTCCCATTTAAGCGTGAACGTAAAGAGACTCATAG